GCTGGTTTCCATGGTGATCCAAATGTTCAAATGTAATGTTATCACTACAGGAATTGAAAGACATTGAGAAAATGATTGATGTGACAGTGTGGTAAAATCAAAGAAACCACTCTGGTCCCATAAAAAGACACACAGCACATTTGTTGATTTGCCTATAGGTTCTTTTTTTTTGGTTTGTTTTTCATGTGCGTTTTAAATTGAGCTCCAGGAATATTATTTATAATATGAATATAGACTCTACCGCTGTCGCCACCGAAGTGACAATAACCCTCCAGGCGCTTTGTTTGATGAACTCAATGAGCACACAGCCTATGTGTGTTTTTCTCACTGTTGATTTTCTCACAGCAACATTAAACATTTGGGGGAAGAAAAAAAAGAGATGGTCATATATTTATTCTGAAATGGTGCTCGTGCTGCTTTTATTGTCATGATATTCAGTTGTCTATGGCTGTGTTTTAATGAAGAGTGAAATGGACTGTCCTCTATGCTTCTATATTTTGCAACATTAGTTTATACTTATACTGTAGAAGTATAAAACAGTGTTACGCTACCTTTCATTGTTATTTTTTGACATAAGATATTAAAGACATAGTTTGTATTTTTTTAGATGGGGGTTGTAAGAAGTACTTATCAAAAGTCAGTGTAATACCTACATTAGACAGGCATCAACCCAGTTAGCAAAAACCAACAGGAGTACCAGTAGGAGGTAAAGCAAAGAAGTGCTATGTGGGGCAGCAGCAAAACACATTTTAAAGGTCCCATGTCATGGCCATTTCCACTGATCATAATTCCATTGTTGAGGTCTACTAGAATAGATTTATATTGTGCAATTTTCCAAACTCACATTGGTTTCTCATACAGCATCTCTGTAAACTACGTATGTTCACTGAATTTCACTCTCTGCCTTTAAAGGCTCGTTATAGCTCCAATAGCTCCAGCCCCCACCCTCCCTGTGAGCACAGTGTGCTCTGATTGGTCGGGACGTTGTGAATCGCGCTGAGCTCCGTGGAGGTGTGGTTTCCTTGTTTAGCGATACACAGCGAAACACAGGCAAACTCACCCTGAGCACACACAAAGTCACAGCCGAAGTAAAAACAAAAAGTGTGGCTTGATATTGAGTAAGAAAAAGGTTGATAAACACTGTGAGAATGGGTCTGCAGAGAGAATTTCGCCGCGATCCCAACTGTCTGTTATCAGCCTGCAGCCAGGGAGGAGAAATCAGCAGAGCTGCCTGCACTGAGTGTGTGTGTGAGGAAGTCCGTGGATTGGTCAATTTGGACCAATCAGCGGGGGCTTAACGTAACGGCTCCGCGGATGACGTAACGGCTCCACGGATGGTCCATTTGGTCCGGGTAACGTATGACATCATGCGGTACCCGGTCAATGGACAGAGACGTATCTCCAACGAAGCTTTTGGGGAGGATTTTCTGTGTTAGAGTTTTACTCGCTACAGGGTGTACTTTAGGGTTTTGACTCTGCAGACCGTTTACATGCTAAAAACCTTCATAACACACGTGTGTGTGTGTGTGTGTGTGTGTGTGTGTGTGTGTGT